GTCCGGGAGGCAGACACCGTCTCCACATTTAAGACTAGACTTAAGACTTTCCTCTTTGATAAACTTATAGTTAGGGCTGGCTCAGGCTTGCCCTGTACCAGCCCCTAGTTAGGCTAACTTAGGCCTAGTCTGCCGGAGGACCCCCCTATAATACACCGCGCACCTTCTCTCCATCTCTCTCTCTCGTATTCTATTACTGCATCTTGCTAACTCGGCCATTCTGGATGTCACTAACTCGGCTTCTTCTCCGGAGCCTTTGTGCTCCACTGTCTCTCAGGTTAACTCATATCGCAGCGGTGCCTGGACAGCGTGACGTGTGTGGTTGTGCTGCTGCCGTGGTCCTGCCAGATGCCTCCTGCTGCTGCTGCCATCATTAGTCATTAGTCATACTTCTACTGTTATTATACACATATGAATATTATCACACATGTATACTGCCAGATATTAATATATACTTTCAACATATTGTACCACAGTAGCCAGAACTATAACTATAATATTATTACTTTCATTAATGTTGTTGTAAGCTACTGTCATTACCTGCATCTCTCTCTCTCTCTCTCTCTGTCTCTCTCTCTCTCTGTCTCTCTTTCTGTCTCATTGTGTCATACGGTTTACTGTTAATTTATTATGCTGATCTGTTCTGTACGACATCTATTGCACGTCCGTCCGTCCTGGAAGAGGGATCCCTCCTCAGTTTCTACCGTTTTTTTCTCCCGTTAAAGGGATTTTTTTTGGGGAGTTTTTCCTTATCCGCTGTGAGGGTCCTAAAGACAGAGGGATGTTGTATGCTGTAAAACCCTGTGAGGCAAATTGTGATTTGTGATATTGGGCTTTATAAATAAAATTGATTGATTGACTGATTGTTTGATAAGATAGCACCGTATTCCTTCGAAGTTAAACCAAAGAGTGCCAGACTGGGTAAGGGTCCAACTGGTTCCAAACGTCACTAAAAGCTTTAAAAATACTTATCCAGAAGGTGGAGACATTTAGACATGACCAGAACATATGCATCAAGTCTGCTGGCTGGCCTCTACATCAAGGGCACAATGGTGCAACATTTGGGTAGATCTTTGCCAGTACATTAATAAGATGAGCTCTATGTACCACTTTCTGTTGTATTAACTTATGTGTAGCAGATGTGAATGACGCATGTATCAAGTCTAAGATGGAGTCCCATTGGTTGGTCATATCTTAGAGCTATTCCAAGATCAGAGTGTCAGGCCATTTTCATATTTTCAAGGAAGAGTGGATTAATGTCGTTTCACTGAACATCAAATGTTTTGTTTCTTTTTGAACTAAAAAAAAGAAGCAAAACGTTTGATGTTGCATTCGGTGATAATGTGTTTTGCTTGACTACATTTGTATAAAACTTGTCTTTCATTCAAGATCTGGAATACATCCTATGTACATAGTGCTACTGTGTGAAGAGTGTCACATGTTGTCCTGGAGAATGCAAAGATTCAGACCTCCTGCAGGATTTTCTCTCTTAACCTTTGAATTACAAGCCAACCACCTTGCCCCTCAACTACAGCTGACTGTCAGGGGTCATAGTGGCTTTTGACAGGATTAATTATTATTACTTGAGTCAAATATGTTGGATATTTAAGATTTGTCAAAGGAGACTGGAAATTTTAGTATGAGAATTAATAAAGTAGCAGACGATATGGAGTGTCAACTTTAAAACCACAAGCAGTCGAGCAGAAACAGGAGATACCACCAGCTGCAGGGCCAGGAAGCCAAACCAGCCTCAGAAGCAGAAGGCTGAGAGAGTGAGGTCACAGAACAACAATTTAACTGCTGGGGATACAATCCTGAGAAAACATCATACCTTAACCTGCTGGTTTCTGATGTACTGTCAGAGACTTCTGTAAATTGCTTATGGAGTGTGGTACTTGCCCACATGGAGAGTCAGATGTTCAACTTCTCTCTCCAAAGCAAGTGACTTAGTCACTACATCACTGCACCATCAGGAAGACATGATTCTTTACACATCTCCTGACAACTTGAGGCGATGATATCACATGGGAAAATTTCATTTCAGAGGATGTGCTGGGAAAAAAAATCAGCTCGGTAAAGACGTATTGGTGATAATACATCATGTTTTTTTTAGTTTGGAATGTGAAATGTCTTGAAATGTAGATGTTATTGTAATAAGCCACACCCTCTTTAAGTCATAACGGAAGAGGATGCAAACCAAATTCTATATTCATCCCTGTAGCTGACTATGAGATAAAAACTTTTCACATTTGTGACGCCCTCTTGTAGCAGAGTTTCGCAAGACTGGTTAGCGAAGCGTGCACAAAGCATCCACACATGTTCACCAAGTGTGGTTACAATTGCTTTTGCCATTTTTGATTTATGAGTAAAACTGAACTAAAAGACAAATGTTTGAAAATGCATAACTTAAAGATGGACTGGTGTTTCAAAATTTCTTTGATAACCTTAGATCAGCGATTGCTGTAGACGATCCAGCCAAAGGTTTTGGACAATTAGACCAATGGTCTGGGACGAGTTTATGAAAATATGGTTGAGAGAAAATTAAGAAAAAGTTACAAAATTGTTACATTTTACAGTTTTCACCTGCATCCCTGTGTGGTTCCAGAGAAGATGATCCTCATGTCTGGATGGTGGTTTTTGCTGCATGAACACTTTTAGTGGAGAATAAGAAGAAGAAGAAGAAGAAGAAGAAGAAGAAGAGGAAGAAGAAGGAGAAGGAGAAGAAGAAGAAGAAGAAGAAGAAGAAGAAGACGGAGAAGAAGAAGAAGAAGAAGAAACTGAGCATTAACAATAAAGCTCCAGCAGCAGCTGCTGCTTGGACTCCTGATTTACAGAGCACAATTGCTAAATGTATGAGAAAATACATTGTTGCTGTTATTATCATTGTTGCTTTATATTACCAGCATGTAGTCATACATTCATATAGTAAAATAATCAAAGGGCAAACACTGTGTACTATACATACTATACACTTTACTATGCTGTACACACTATACATACAATACTGGTTTGTCACACCTCTTCCATTTGTAGGACTCAAATAAAGGAGCAGTGTGGCACCTAGCGATGAGGTTGCAGACTGCAACTAACAGAATATCCTCTCCCCCTTTCCATTTTTTTTGGAGAACCTACGGTGGCCTTTAGGTACTGTAAAAACGCCAAAGGTCCTATCCAGAGCCAGTGTTTGGTTTGTTCGTTCTGGGCTACTATAGAAACATAGCGGTGCAACATGGCAGGCTCTGCTGGGGCTTGGTCGATACACCAGCATGGCCCCTTTGCCAGAGGAAGGGGACCCTTGAGCACATATTGAGTTGCTGCCCAAAAGCTCTGGGAGAAAGCCAATACCTTTGGCAACATGACCAGGTGCTCAAGACCATTGCAGGGAGCATCTGTAGTGCCATCACCAGCTGTCGAAGGTCAAAACCCATGAAGCAAAACATCAACTTCATCAGAGCTGGGGAGAGGCCAAGAACAACACCTAGAGCAACATCAGGGCTGCTCAACACTGCACAGGACTGGCAGCTGCCAGTGGATTTGGGCAGTCACCTCAAGTTCCCTCAGCATGTCGTTAAGACCACCCTCAGACATGACATCATCCTGGTGAGGGTGTCTTATGTTCGAAAGACCCGAAACACCCAATGACCTCAGGTAACATCACTGATGATGGTGCCCTAGCTACGCATCAGAAGATGTTTCAGCTACAACTGCCAATATATCCAGTAAATCCTACACACTGCTCCTTTAAGAAATGATAGTTGGTTTGTGTTAGTGGATTACAAATTTCACATTTAAAGACAGGAGATGGGTTACTGCTGTGTTTCTAGAACAGGATAAAATATTCTTTTTCACACCAGCACAGGAAATTGTCTTTGTTTCACCTGTAAGAGAACACCCACTGAAAACTGAATAAAAATGACACATTACAAATCATTGGCAGGATGTTAACATAATGAGTTGATAGAACTATATTAAAATCTCCCACCATGACAATATTTTAAGGCAGCCTGGTCACCAATTTGACTGCACTACAGATTACCCTTGGTTTCTTTTTGTTCAGCTGTGGGAGCTTCCCTTTGGCCAGGACAGATTTGAACCCTCATCAGTTTAAAGTGTCACCAGTAGGTGTCGCAGCCCCACTGCTAATAGCTTGGTGAAGCTGAAAGAAGGGTGCCATGCTTCACAGTGGTGGCTGATATAAGAAAAATCATATTTATAGAGCTAAGCGTTGTTACATCCAAAAATATGTAACTTTTCTGTCCTCACTGAAGTCACAGCAGCTGCTGCTCGTTTGTTCCTCCTCTCATCACATCCTGATGACTCACTGAAGCTCCATCATTGTCTTTTGTCTCCATCTTCTCTCCTGTATCCCTGTCAGTCACTCACAGGACTCAGACCCCTATCACCGTCACACAGCAGTGACACTGGTTGCACCCTCGCGGTCCGAGCTCACTAATCTGAACTCTCACGCGCCTGCAGGATTGACAGGGGTTATGTGGATGTCCTCTGGAGTAATGATAATAGAGATGGAGAGCAAAACCTCGGAGGGGGGTCTTTCCATGTCAGAGCCTCCTAACAAAACGCTCTTTCCCTCTCTCTCGCTTTGAAACATCAAAACAGGCATAGGCGCATTCCTGTACGCGCGTAACCGGTGCGCAGCATGAACGCGCTCAGCAGAGTGGGTCTCACTGGGAATTTGAAAACTGGAAACTCTGTGATAGACATATTTAAGATTATTTTATTAATTCAAAGACGTTTAAGAATAGTTATCATCGTGTCTGTGTCACTTCTTCAGCTTCATGTTTACAGACTCACAAAACCCAACTATTGTTTTATTCATGAAATAGACATTGATTTCCTTTTCAAGCTGGTATATGACAAATATATTTCAACATCAAAGGATATATTATGGTAGTAATATTATCCAGATAGGAGTAATGGCTGGATGAATGGATTTGTTGTTTTATTCTTGATTAACTTTGCATCAGCTGTCACGTCTCCAGCGTTGAGGGGAAATGATGAACACATTTTGTGCATGCAGGATCTGGAGATGGGATCGGCTGACGGCGGGGGGAGCAAACTCCACCCAGCAGATAGGATCTCGGGCAGGCGGAGCGGCGAGCAGCCTTGCGCCGAAAGGGCTCAGGCTGGTTGGTCGGGACGCCTGACAAGTCCCGCAGAAAACTTGAGAGGGGCAAAGTCCAGCCTGAGCGTGAGGGGGGAGACGGCGTGGAAGTTAATGTGTGAGAGCGTGCTGGTAACTCAATCACATGTCATTTTAAAGAAATGCTCCAAAGATGGCGGTGGTAATAACAACGGGAGTTTCAGGTGCCTCCGGAGTGCAAAAAAGTGGATTTGTGGAGGTTTGGGTGCGGGAGCGGTGGCACAAAGTTTTGGTCAACTTGAACGAGGAAGCGCTCACGTTGAGCTGCGAGGAGAGCTGCGTTAACGACAGCGTGAACGAAAATGTCAACTCCAACGGCGTTACCAACGGATCTTACCTTGACAACAATAACGCCAACTCCAACAACGGCCCCCAAACTGTGCGCAACGCGTTCACGGACCTCCCGGAGCGAGTGCCCGAGGCGATTGCGAACAGAAAGCGGTGCGTTAAGGTGACCAAGCAGGAGGTCGGGGGACTTGGGATCAGCATCAAAGGAGGGAAGGAGAATAAAATGCCCATCCTTATCAGTAAGATTTTCAAGGGGCTCGCAGCGGACCAGACACAGGCTCTGTACGTCGGGGACGCCATCCTGTCCGTGAACGGCGTGAACCTGCGGGACGCGACCCACGACGAGGCTGTGCAGGCACTGAAACGGGCCGGGAAAGAGGTGACACTAGAAGGTAGGCAGCCTGGGCAGAGTGTGTGTGTGAGGTTGACATAAAAGATGAGGGACCCAGAGGTGAAGGGGAGTGTGTGGGTCGGGGAATCCCAAACTTTTTAATACCACATGCATGCTCCAAATTATCCCACTGGATCTTATTTTAGGGAGCCCCACATGTGTTAGTGAAGGCTTGTGCAGCATACCTGGGGAGATAAGAGTTGAGTTTGGGTGAATTTCAGCTTCATTTTTATGAAGACCCAATATAACCTCTCTCAGAGATCCCTAAGGGAGCTCTGGACCTTAACATGCATGGGCACCTCATCCTTCAGTGAGGCTGAGAGTTTATCATCCCTCATGGCTTTCTATTTCCTGGACTGGTGTTGGGCTGTTTTATGCATATGATCCAGCAGGTCAGTGGCCCCTCAGGCCACAAAATGCTGCAAGTTTCCTGTTCTACCTGCCAGTTGATTGCATTCACTTTGCGTCCCAGGCGCAAATCACTCCCTGATTAGAGGAACAGAATGGAAAGCAACGGGGCTCTGAGTGTTGAAGGAATGAAAACGTCTGCTGCAGGGAGTGATTTACTTTCCATTAAAGAAAGGAGGTTCTGGTTAATAGCGAGACCGAAGAAAGAAAAGATGGTGTTTTTATTGCCGCAGCCTATATTATTCATATCTCATTTCATCAAGTCTGTTTTGTTACTCATATACAAAGTCAGAATTTGTTGTGACGAACAGTCTCCCAGGGTGGCAAACTGAAGTGAAACTTTTCTTCTCTGCAAATTTAATTTACAGCAGGAGACGGGAGGATAGTTAATCGTATATGTAGTGCAGCTTTGCAGGACACCCAAGGTTTATTTCATATTTGGGAAACAGGTGACTGAGTGGCTGCCTTTTTGTACAAAAGAACATTTTGGATTTCTAAGGAAATAGTTATTATGCAACCAGAGGTGCCATGGGAGAATCATACAAGGTCAAACTCTTATCGTCTCTTTTCCCCTCATGTTCAAACAAATCCAGCTCTACATCTCAAGTGTGTGTGGCTCTCTTTCTCTCTCTCTCTCTCTCTCACACACACACACACACACACACACACACTCACTCGTACACACAGATGGAAAGGCACGCGGACCCACTGGCTTTCAACTCACTCGCACAAGCAGTGCAGCCAGATTGGCGTTGTGCAGTTGTTTTTAGCCAAAAGTGAAGATGAAAATTAGGCTGATGGAACGCAGATTCCACTCTGAAGGATGAACATCATTTTACCCCCTTAACACACACATACGAGTACACAAACACACACACACCGGAAAAATGTTGCATGCAAGTGCCCACTTCTGAGTTTTTTTTTATTTTATTCCTGTTCCTGTGAGGACTTTTGGACCCAAGATAGGAAGAACAAAGTGTCTCTCACTCTTGCACACCCCATATACACATGCACATGCAGGCATGGTGATGAGCCTTCCCAGGGGGACACAAGGGCTATAATACTGCAAAGGAAAAAGCAGGTCCCAGCTGAAAACTTACCAGATAAGAAAGAGTGAGAGAGGGAACGGAGCGGACGAGGAGGAGGATGGAGAGAGGGAGAGAGGGAGAGAGAGAGACGGGAGGGGGCAGAGCTGAAATGTGAATTTAATGGGGAAAGTGCTGAGAGGGAGACAGATAGAAAGAGACAGAACAGAAGGAGAGCCAACGAGGGAGGCTAAGAGGCTGATATGAAGACGACAGGGAGGGTTAACTTAAGGCTAACAGAGAGACAGAAGTTCACTTCAGCTGCAATTTAGCAGAGATCATTCGCATTTGGCAAAGCTGTGAAACAGAGGAATAGTACGAAGCTACAAAGTGCGTTTTTAAGGGGTTTTATGGATATTTAGAGGCACAAAGGGTGCTCAACATGTCACCAAATATGTTAACTTTCATTTCAAATAAAAAAGACGCCTAAAAATAAGTGATTTATTCCTGTTTTTATTCCTGAGTGTAAGCCACCTTCTAAGATGTGAGAGAGGAAGACTGTGTTACATGGGGAACGAGATCAGGAGGAAACATCAGATTCAACTGTTAGGAGAGCTAGTACATGTCTCATGGGAGAGGAGTGTGCATCTCTCTGCGTGTGTGTGTGTACAATGCAGTGCATTTTGTGCGAGTGTGTATGCACCAGAGCTTGTACGTTTGTGTTCTGTGTATTTTACTGTAGCACTGACAAGCCATCTTGGAAACTCATTAGGAAGATGGAAAACAAATTCAGCTAGAATAGGCAGCGACCACTCACTCCTGACGCAGGCTGGAAGAGGACAGCGGATTGACCCCGTGGTCAAAAAACTCAGAGGACCATGGATTCAAGCACCCATGTCAGAGAGCATCCGCTTTGTTAAAGCGTCCCCTGAGCGAGGCGCCAGCTCTCTGCTGGCTCTGTTCTGTGGCTCAGCGTGTAGTCTGACAGGTCAAAATTTTTCTCTTTGGGGATCAATGAGGGTTGTGCAGCTGTGCCACAAAGCTGCTCGCAACCACAGCCAGTGCTGTTACGGGGGTCCAGCGAGGAATCGGTTATGCACAAATAATGCCTTCAATTACATCCTGATGGAATGCAATAAATAAAAATTACAAGTTTGTAGTTGTTCAGAATATTGCCAGCACTTGTGCAGTGCAACTTGAGAGCTGTTAAATGAGATAACAAAGTCCACGTGGAGGGCTGCCGAAAGCTGGACATACACTCTACAATGCAGCCTGTTGTAGAAATGTTGTTGTTTAATTCCAACTCCCACTGTATGAGTAAATCTCAGCGATGTAAAGCCAAAGCTAATGATTCATGTGCTGACACTGTGCGGTCCGATAGTAAAGCCACAACATGAGTTCTCTCGTTGTAGCCTACAGTGAAATAGACAATGAAACGGTGCGTCTGCCCCTGTGGACTGTTCTGGCTATTGACAATTGTCAATAAAGATTTGTTTGAAATCTCCAGTACTGTGGGCAGGTAAAAGTTTGTTTGCCAGCTGAAGTATGACTTCTGCAAAGATGAGTCAGTCCAAGTTTCGATTCCCTCTCTCACACACACACGTCAGCAGGTTAGCAGCACCAACAAACTAGCTGGGTATCAGCTACCCTGTGCGATTGACTGAGTGCGAAAAGGCTCTGACGCTGGGGGAAATGACTCATGGCTCTGCGTCAACTGTGCAAGAGCCTGATGATAATGACTAAAATTTCGGACGCAATTTCAGGAGCAGTTGATAGGGCCATGATTGGTGCTCACTCCCCCCATGTGCATTGCACAGCCAACAGTGCCCTACAAATCTGATATTTGGTCTGTCTCTAAAATGTGTCGTGTGTCAAAAAATTGGGCCAGAAACAGGCTCAGATTGTACAGCCTATGTCCAGCTTAATCAGGTCACTTTTACCGGGTCACTTGAATAGAATGGAGCCATCGTTAATGTTAAGTAACACCTGGGCTTTTTCTACTGTGACAAGTTAAAATGTCTGCTGTGAAAAAGGCCTTTGTCACATGCCACTGGTAGGAGGCTGCGTGGCAAACTGTCAACACATCCTGGTCCTACAACAGAAGAGCTCCAGGCCACACACGGTACTGCAGTATGATTCAAACAAAGTGCTTGCTGAGTTGTCAAACAGTATCTGAACCCCCTCTCCGCACATGTTTCAGACGTAAGGATGGAGTGGGTTGCAGCTGACAATTTTTGCAACTTTTTCGAAACAATCTGACAAGCTTCACGCAGTGATTGGCCCCTCTGACAGCAGATATTTTGACTTGTCATAGTAAGAAAAGCACCGGTGTTACTAATAACATTAACAATGGCTCTGCTGTATTCAAGTGTCCCAGTAAGCCTTGACAAGACCCTGAAACTGAAGCAAATGCGAGGAATTCAGCCATTATTGATTTTATTATTTATACCTGTTCCTACTGTGACATGTCAAAATGTCCGTAGTGAAGGAGGCCTAATGGGCAGGTGTGTGGAGGAGAGAAAGTGTGAAAGACTTGAACTTCTCTCTCAAAAAGACATGAAAAAAGGCACAGCGGTCTTAGTCAGCATTTCCTGGCTTCTCTCCCGATATCAGCCCCCTACAGAACCTGTGAGATGCCTCGAATGGCAACATCAGGAGACGTGACCTCCCTTACTTGCCGGTGGTAACAACTTCATAAGTCCCCGGTGCAGTAATGAGAGAACCTTGCAGGTGTCAGTTGTAGCTGCAAGAGACGGTCATACAAGGATAGCAGCTCTGGATGTTCCCAGCTGTTTTCTTTTCCTCCCATTGTTTCCGTTTTTGTGTTGTTGTTTTATGCAATGACGAATTCTGTCCAACCATGGGGGTGTTAAGTTTATTTTTCAACAGCAATTTGATTAAGATAAAAAGAGATGAACACAATTCCTTTGGAGAATTGTGTGGCTCAATCCACTTATGTTTATAATTAAAACTGGATATAGGCCTACTCACATGCAAAAATTATTCCCAAATTTAGATTACAGAGGGTTTTAGACTCAGAAGGAGATATAGATGATGTCTACCCACACAAGGAGAGGTCAGATTATTTATTTAGAGTATTTATGTATTTTGCTGATTGTACCTGTGTGATCGTTAATCGAAGGCTGAACAAAGCCTTTCCAAGGTTGGCTTGCTGCTAAAAGGCTAAATTGATTTTTACTGACCTCAGAGTAGTACAGGTTGTCAGTAGCCAGAGGTGTTGAGAATACTCAGTACATTTTTCTTATTTACTGTTATGTGTGAAAGAAAGTTAGTTTTCTGCAGTATTTCCACAGTAGCCTCTAATGCTGTAGATAGTAGTCTTGGTTGGTATCTATCGTTTGTCATTTCAGCAGGATATACGTTTTATGATGGCATTTGTGTATAAAAAAAGAAAGCGAAACAAAAAACTAAAGAATGCTGAAAGATTTGCTGCTGGTGATAGAAGTCAGTGTAAGATGCACTGTACTGTATAGCTCCTTCTCCACCGAGCAGTACGGTATAGTTCAGTTTGGTACCCTTTTTTTTCCGTTTCCACTGTGAAAAGTTG